AGAGCTACAAATTTTTTCTTTCCACAACAAATTTACAACAAAAACACTACAATTAATGCCGTAGTTAACTTTTCCAATTTCGAAAAGTGTAGTGCTAACTTGACGCACGTATACAATATAGTATATACATCTGTATTTAAAATTACCAGATAATTTCGAAACGATTAATACGCTTTCAGTGGAGGAGAAAGAAGATATTCTAAAGCATTTTAATTACAGTGATGATATCATAGAAAAAATAATAATTCAGTATAATAAAATTAATTTTGTAAAATGTGACAATATAAATAATACAATGCAATTTTGAGCAGAAGTTCTCAAACTTATACGGATTCAGGTGGCGGAATTCGCACTTCATTTACTTTCACTACCTTGGTCTAATGCAGACCTGAAACTTTATTCAGTCAGCTAAACTAGGTGAAAACAAAGCCACGCCACAATATACACTTATATATACATACATAGTTATAAATATTATTTTTTTATCCTTATTTTTCATTTCTGACGATCTTCGATCCCAGCTGCATTATTCGATTATTAATTTTAATTTCAAGTAGTCTTTCAAATGAATTGTTAAAAATTATATTAATATAAAACAATTTATTTTCCAGCTTTTGTTTTGTAGAATTCAACTTTTTCTTAGTGTTTTTTTTTATAAAAATCTGGATTCTTTTTACTCGCAAATAGTTGGCAGCACTGATTAAAATACACCTTCAATAAAAATTTTGAAGTGTTAGTACCAAAAACAACGGAGTTACATGCCACTTTTTAAAAAGCCCTACGTATTTTTGATATTCTTTTTATATTTGTTTTTGCTTCTCCTGTAAAATAAAAATAAAAAAAAAATTGGTTGGGGCCCTTGTGAATTAAGGTAACGATATACTACATACATATATATGCATGATGAACCAAATATTAATTTTAGCCATGTTTTAAACCGAGAAATTCGACATACAGTCTATTTTTCTTTGGTTAGTTTAATGTTTATTTTTTTTATCAAAATAAAGCTCATTATCTAACAAAAACCATGTAAGTCCAAATTTCAAGCTTTGTAGAAAAATTTGAAAAATTTAACACAATTTCACAAAAAATTTTTATAAAAAATTCTAAGTATGCAGTTTTATTGCCCACTAAATTCTAGCCCAATAAAGTAAATCTAATAATATTGAAAAAATTATAACTCCAAAAAAGTGGCAACCTTGTTAAAAAAAAAATCTGTAATAAATACGGTTTGTATAGATTCTTTCAGAAAGCTGGTATCCAGCTCTCAAGTAAAACAAAGAATTCATATAAAAAAACGCTTAAGAAATTAAAACGAAATTTTCTTCTCTCAAAATTTCTTAGATCAATTTGCAGCTCTCAAGAAACAAATGCTAATATATATATTTCCTCAAGAAAATTTACAGCAACGGCAAAGTAATTTTTCACGCAACGGAAAAAATAAAAAATGATTTCTTGTGTTTTTTCTTGAAAGCTGGAAACTGAAAATAAATACCCTTCGTATGAATATAGGACTTTTTTAAATTAGTATTTAGATGCTGAAACCATAGTCTCCACTCCCACCTATTTGTGCTCGAAAAACAAATTTACAGACATAACCTCAAACTTTAGATACATATATATGTATGTATGCACATATGTAAATTTTGTATATGTACCTATACCTAAAATATATAAACATCGATAAGTTAAATAAATCTTACTCCATCAAATTAACCCCTTTCACTTCTACACTTTCTCCGTTCCAGAATGTGGTGGACCATCACTGGCAATTTTGGCAACATTCTTCCCATCGATTGGTCGAAATCATTTACACGTCAAATGCATATGCCCACATTAAATTTGGGCCAAAATCAGCTTGGTGCTGGCAATGGTAGCCTAGGCAATACGCTTGATGCCAACACACCCGGCGATGAGTTGACCAGTGAGGACGAGGCTGTAGCCAATGATCTCGATATGCATGCACTGATATTAAACGGGCTAAATGCCGAGCAGGAGGCGCCGATTAAAACGGTTGAAGAGGTAATCAAGGAGATTGATGACATCATGGATGAGGCTGAGAGTCCATTGGATGAGCCAGAAACATGCGAATCAGAGGTGATAGAGAAGGCAAGAGAGGTGTTGGGCGCGCCACTATATGCGGAGAGTGAGTAGAAAAAATTTGGTTTTAATTTTTAACAATTCAATTAACGATTAATGGTCTTTTTACTTTTCACAGAATTACAATATTTATCGATAACACAATTGAATGAGCTGTATATGGAAATGGAAATGCTCATACAAGAACTCAGCGAAACTTTAATCAACGAGTTGGCGCTACGCGATGAGCTAGAATATGAGAAAGAGCTGAAAAATTCCTTCATTTCACTGCTTTTAGCGGTACAGAATAAGCGACGACAGTATCATGTGGAGAAGAAGCGTGGAAAATTACAAGGTAAGTGGAATAGATTTTTTATTTTATTTTTTTTTCAAAAATTTGCCTAATTAAAAATAATTTTTTGTTGATTGCGAAGAACGAGTTCTACTCGTGCTGTAAGATAATTTTTGCTTTTGCAAATTTACACACACAAAATAATAAGAGAGAAAACCTAACTTAAAACGGAGCCGGTTTTGCGGGGTAGGCAACCCAAAAACTGGATTTTTTGTATTTTTTTTTCTTTCATCCAATCTTTTTCATTATTGATATGCAATTGAAATTCGATTTTTACATTTGTGTATTTTATCCTATAAGGAGGTAGCACGAGTAGAAAAACACAAATTACTTAAATAAATTATATGCACAATTACATTAATAATTATAACAAATACATCATTTTGTTTTTAATAACCGCAGAGGCGACAATTCTGCTGTTCTGGTAACACCACCTTATATGAATTCGAGTATTTAATTTTCTAAATTCTTTTGCTGTTTTTCTTTTTGTGGCAAATGACTATCCATCTTAAAGTAATTGCATTAATATACCAGAGTACTCTTGTGCTATTTTTTTTTACCATTTGAAAACTCGAACAGGTCCGGAGCCAAAGTATCTGACCACTGTCATACCCTACCATATGGAGAATGGCACACCAAATAATCAGTCCTTGCAAGTGCTGATCAAAAGTGAGTACAATCTCTTCAATTTACAAAAATAAATTTAATGTTTATCCTTGTTTTTTCTTCAACTTGCAGTCCTTAAAGCCATCAATGAGGATAGTCCAACGGTACCCGCGCTGCTCACGGACTACATACTCAAAGTACTCTGCCCCACATAAATGACATAAGTGCGCACTGCATTAGATGGTCGTCGAGTTGTTAGGTGTTTTAGTACATAATTGCAGTGAATACATTTAGAAGAAAATTTCAAAAGTAAAGAAAAAGCATACAAAAAAATAAACTCCATACGTTGGAAAAAGAGAAGTTAATGTAAATGAACAATTTATGTTTAGAAAAGTATATTTTTAATTAATACATACTTTTTTCATTTTTTAGTTATAATCTTAAGCAAATGCGTTAAAGAAATAACAATTAATGCATAAAATTAGCAGATTTTAATTAAAAAACTTAAAAAAATGAGTATATACATATATGTGTGTGTATAGCATGTAGAACAATTATTTTTTGCTGGCATCAACGAGCGAAAAAATATATCGAAGTGTATGGCGAATTTAGTGATGTTAAGAGAAAATAATTTTACTTTGGAGTGCTGCAAAAAGCAGGTGGCATGCGTTTTTAGCGGAAATCGGGAATTGAAAAAGAAAAATGGACGTCGGGTTTCTACACGAAAACTGTCAGTAGAAGGCAAACACATACTTAAGAAAATGAAATTCTTTGAAAGACAGCGATTATTTAGTAACAAATTGAAACAAAATATTAACATTCTCACAGTCCCCTACTTCTAAAACGTGAATGGTGTTCCCTAGCAAGTTAAAAGTAATATAAATAATAATTTGATCTAAACTGCCCTAAAAAAGAAAATAAAAAATTGTTGTAAATTTATTGTAAAAACGTGGCTTTTTGGTGTTAGTACATACCTTATATTGGAAAAAATTTTAGTCGAAACACTAAAAATAAAATAATTTAATTCAAATATCAGTTAAAATATTCAATCAATGTGTTATTTATCCAAAAATCGCAATTTTTTTTAAAATATCATTTGTAAAAATTTAAATCAAAGTTTATCTAAAACAAAGCAGTGCAGATTTGATAAATTTTATTTGAAAACAATATTAAATGGGAGTTATGATCCACAAAAAGAATTTAAAGTGCCGATATGCTACACTTTCCTTGAAACAATAATTTTACAAATAAACACAATAATTATAGATATAAAAAATTTAATTTTACAAAAAGCTGGACAATTTTGTTTAAATAAAATGTATTAAAAATTATATTTTACGAAAACATCGCAGATTTGGTCAATTTTATTTGTCCATAAATTTAATAAAGGTTACAATTTGTAAACATAATTGAAAAATTTAAAAAACCTTGTAAAACTAAATTTGCTAAAATTAAAAAAAAAAATTCGTTGGAAGGAATAATGAACAAAAAAAAAAATTAAGAAAAATGCGGATTAGGTATATTTCGTTAAAACAAAATGTGGAAACTATGTTTAAAAAAATGCTGATTTGCTAAATTTTATTGGAAAAATAATTTAAATCTAGAAGAAATAAGTACCAATCTAAAGCGAAAAACACCTTGCGCAAAGAACGATGCTGCGCAGACGGTAGAGCCCTCTTGCTTCTTAAAAAGTGCGGTCTCAGATGTTTAAAGCGCAGCCTTGCAAAAGCTGGGCAGTTTAAGAGGAAGTATTGTGATGAATTCACTTCGCCTTCCTCCAAGCAGCTGCGAGAGTGATGAGGATTCAGTGTGATGTTTAGTCTCACCGTGTGAACTTCAGTTTCAATACGCCCTCCAGAATTGACAGTTACGGCTTTGTAAGCCTATGAGATCGTAGCACATGTCCCCGTTTTCGACCAACGTTCACTGTGCTGACACGAGTCCCAACTAAACACGAGTAATCCACATTTAGTGAAAGGTATTCCCTTTTTTCGGTGAGACCGATTCGAGGGCGCCTTTTCTGGCCAGCTCCTCCGTCATGCATTGTGTTCTGGCCCTCACAAGTATAAGTTTGACAGGGAAATACTCAGACGTGACAGAAAGAGAGATCAGGCATTGCGAATCCAATGCTTTAATTACTGCTAGTCATTAATTCATCTCGGTATTAAATACAAAACCGTTGAATTAAAAACGAACAGCAGTGCAAGGACTTTTGACACATTTGAGGTTCCGTAATTTGTTGCTTTCAANCATCTCGGTATTAAATACAAAACCGTTGAATTAAAAACGAACAGCAGTGCAAGGACTTTTGACACATTTGAGGTTCCGTAATTTGTTGCTTTCAAATGAACTAAGAAAATAGAAATAATTCAAAAAATTTTAAATTGCTCCAAAAAAACGCTAAAATTCCACTGCTATTTGACTGCAGCACGCACATGTAATCTAAAAGCGCTTCGATATTATATATTTGCTCATTAATGTATATAAAAACATACATATATTTTATGTTAGTCTACGCTACACGTAGCTACAAACATAAGTATGTATAGGTTGCTAGTTATAAGTATATATTTGTATGTGAATATTTTATGCAACTGTAAAAGCTTGATCAGTAACTAAGTACAACACTGATCACCCTTTTAGTGCCGCAAAATATAGCTTACATCATGTATCTATAGTTTTTTTAAAAAGCTAAATGTAATTGAATGTAATTTATTATTATTTGTAATGCTTATTGGCAGTGTTTGCTTTTCATGTAAGTCAGTATGTATTAAAAAATAGAAGTAAAAAACAATTATTATACATACATATAAGTGTATAGCGTAACGTGGATGTTGAAGCAAAAAAATGTGCACAGTGTACGGTAAAAATAGGCATGCGCTGCGCACTTTTTCTTAATTATAAGCTTTTTTATTACAAGATTTTATTGGTTGTTGCTTAGTTGTTCATCCAAATACTGCCAATTTTTAGTCAAAAAACATTATAGCGGAGGTTTTGAAAAACGTTTTAGAATGTGTTTCGCTTTGCAAAATTGATTCCATATAACTTTATGGCATTGAAATGCGTTTCCATAAATAAAGAAATAAACATTTTAGACAGTTAGAAATATGGCACCGCGTTTATAAAAAAAATAGCTTTAACTCAGGCTCAATTTACTAATTAAATTTTTGAACTTAAGCTCACTTCGTTAGTTGGAGGTGAGAGCTATTTTAATTTTTTTCCCATTTTGTTTAATTGTTACCTTTTTAAACTCTAAAGAATTTTACTTATGGCGTTTTCGTTTCTACAGAAAAGGTTGCCTTTCATTACCCAGTTCTTAGCGTTTAAAGGGCAATGAAAAGGTAACATTTTTCGGTAGAAACGAAAACTCCATTAATTTCTTACGGCCGCCGTGGTCGAGTGGTTAGAGGTGCGCACTTCTACTTGGTAGGTCCAGGCCTCGATTCCCTGGTGCGATCCCTGGTGCGAGCAATATAAAAAAAAAGTGTTTTTTTTCTAATAGCGGTCGCCCCTCGGCAGGCAATTCCAAATCTCCGAGAGTATTTCTGCCATAAGGGAAGTTTCTTATTAAAAGCATTTGCCGTTCGGAGGCGGCGTAAAACTGTAGGTCCCTCCCATTTGTGTGAAGCTCGTCCAAGCACCAGCAAATGTGTAGGCGCCAAATATTAGTTAATTAATTCATTATAAAAATTGCCGTAACTGTTTCAATTTTATTTATTTTCTTTTGTTTTATTTTTTATTTGTTATTTATTTCATAAAATTTTATTGTTTATTTTAATCATTCTTTTAACTTTGCAAAAATGTTACGAAACCCAATGTTTTGTTCTATATTTTAGATTTTTTATTACATTTCATATTTCTCAACTTATTTAAGTTTTTTATTCTCTTGTAAAAAATTAGTTTTAATGTTGAAAATCAAAAAAAAAAATAGTTTAAACTAAAATATGCTAGTTTTAAATTTATTTACAGTGGCCATATTAATGCTTTCATTATTGTTACCTAATACTACAAAATTTATATTGTATATTTCTTTAAGTACAAGTACAATATACAAATATTTTTTATTTAAATTAAAAAATATATATATGTAATCACTTATCATTTTTTCTTTAAAAAGGCAAATTTGCACCTTTAAAAAATTTTGTTTAAATAATTGCTAAAATTTTTAATATCCGTCTCAATTTTGGGTAAGAATATACAAAAATATATGTATATACTCAAAATTGTCAACTTTCTAAATTCAAGCACCCGAATTATTTTCTTTTTTCTTCATATTTGTAATAGAAAAAAATGCTTTGTAAAAAATGTTTCCAAAATAACTTTGAGAATTTCTTAAACACAAATTCTAAGCAATTTTGGCTTATTAATGAAGTATATATGCATAAGTATGTATGTATATACATACATACATATAAGGATTTCGATTCGCTAATAACTTGCTATAACTTTTACTTTGCTTTTAGATTTTTTTCTGAAACTTTAACATGCCAACTATGTACATATACATATATCTTCCCAATCTCTGTGTTATTTTTATATTAAACTTTTTAAACATTACGACCTTTTTGTTTAAAACTGCAGCAATACTTTATAATAAGCACTATTTATAAAAATTTTTAATCAAATTTTTTTCTGTTGTAAAATATTTTTTCAATAAAGCTTATTTTTAATTAAAACATCAGCTTGTTTCATTCTTTATAAAAATACAAATCACAAAATTTACTGCTTGCTTGTTCTTACATTTTTTTGCTATATTTCAAAAACTCAAAAACACAATTTTTTTTGCTCAGTAAACTTTATAATTTTTTATATGCGTAGAAGTCATAATTTTTAATTAAATCAATGTCCATTTAATTTTTTTATTTTGATTTTGTTATTCGCATTTCGAAGTCAAAACAGGCCACTTAAGGTGTAACCAGATAACACAATATTTTGTATATTTTTCATTAAGTGAACTGATACATGATCGATAAATTTTTTTTTATCAAAAAGAAGTACTTTTTTTAATAATGGCGCGCATATTCAAAGCAAACTAATTTTTTAATATGCACTTTAAATCCATAAAACCGTCATCCTCTCCGCTTTTCTATGCTCCCATCTAATAAAGCTTGCCTTATTTTCTACAGTTAGTAATAAGTTTTCTAATCATAAAACAAAAAAGAAAAATAAAAACAGATAACCACAGCAATAAACTCAAATGCACCCAAACTCTTATCGTCTAAAAAATACTAACATCCATACCTATATACAAACTTATATACCCAAGAGCATCAGCTTCAGTTCACAACAAGTAAATAAATGTTTGAAAAAACGACATACATATATGTATATCAACATAAATAACCGTTGCAAAAATAACGCTAAAAATAGTACTGCTTTGTGAAGACAAAAACCGAAAAAAGTGGAGATAATTACAATTGTCATGGGGTGCATTGAAGTACGACTGTGCAATAAAAGCAATTTTGTAGTTCAGTGTCATTTAAACTCGGAAAAACAAAAGATGATTCAATAAAAAATACATAATAAACACAAAAAGTATATACCAAACTCACAAAAAAGCACCCTAGGTACCTTATACAGATTTATATGATTCGCATCCATGAAGATAACCTCTATATAAAAAATGTTAGCTTCAATGAGCAAAGAAATTTATTTAAAATTTTTGCTACATTGACACGCCAATTATTTGGATTACCACAACCTATACACACAAAGGTATAAGTATACACATATACATTTGACAAAAACAGAAGGTTTTTAACAAATTTATTTGCGAATATGTATGCAATTTTTTCTTTGACATAAATACATACTATCTTCAAACATTATCTAAAAAACGTAAATGTCGACAGCTAATTGAAACTAAAAAAATATAGTTACATTTTCTTAAAAAACTAAGAAAAGATTAACTAATAAAAAAAGTATATTATAGAATTAGAAATCCCACAAAAATAATAATAAAAATAACATGAAATTGCGCTAAATAAATGTATTGAAGAAGCAAATAAATTACAAGATTGTCCATGTTTATTAGATATAACGATAAAACAAAATGAGAAAAAGGCATAAAGATGAAAAAATATGAAAAATTTAAATAACTACGTAAGAAAGCGTGCAAAAGCTTAAAATATTTATGAGGTAATAAAAAGCAGAAATTTTCTCGAAAAATAAGCAAATTTCAAGAATAAAAAATTATAACAAAACGTAAAAAAATATTATAATAAATGTAATGCGATTCTCTATATACAAACATTTAAAAATGCTTAAATAAAAGATATTAAAAAATGCACAAAAAGTGATTGGAGTCACATGATTTCTTCCTTAGGTCTAGAGTTCCTTTTTATAGAAAACTAGCGGTACCCCGGTGTGCTTCTCTACACCAAATATTGAAAAATGAATGAAAAATCCTGGAATTTTTCTATATGCAATTTTTTCTACTATATTGCAGGCTTGTTTATAATTGACTTAATTTATCCTAAGAAAAAATAAACACAGCACATCATAGCAACAATTTTTCACTATGTTTTCGAGTTTTCATGTATCTGCTGTTGTACTATATACGTGGTTCATGTGACAGACATAAACTGTCATATATCATGAACCGCTGGACCGAATTCGGGCACACTTCGCATAACCCATCTGCATTATAGTCCGAGTATACCGTTTAAATTTGGTAGAATTCGTGCACTTATTTTTTTTATTTAAGATGGGAGGTGCCACGGCCCCTTTTCCAATACCGCACATTTTTCTCCATGAGTATGGAATTATTTCATATGTCTCTATACCAATTTCCAGTAATCTAACACTAATATTTCAAGAGATATACCAGATGATTTTTAGTATGGGTGGTGCCACGCCCCCGTTCCAAATTCCGGGAAACTTAACACAAACCATCTNATTTTCTAATCATAAAACAAAAAAGAAAAATAAAAACAGATAACCACAGCAATAAACTCAAAGGCACCCACACTCTTATCGTCTAAAAAATACTAACATCCATACTTATATACAAACTTATATACCCAAGAGCATCAGCTTCAGTTCACAACAAGTAAATAAATGTTTGAAAAAGCGACATACATATAGGTATATCAACATAAATAACCATTGCAAAAATAACGCTAAAAATAGTACTGCTTTGTGAAGACAAAAACCGAAAAAAGTGGAGATAATTACAATTGTCATGGGGTGCATTGAAGTACGACTGTGCAATAAAAGCAATTTTGTAGTTCAGTGTCATTTAAACTCGAAAAACAAAAGATGATGCAATAAAAAATACATAATAAACACAAAAAGTATATACCAAACTCACAAAAAAGCACCCTAGGTACCTTATACAGATTAATATGATTCGCATCCATGAAGATAACCTTCATATAAAAAATGTTAGCTTCAATGAGCAAAGAAATTTATTTAAAAGTTTTGCTACATTTACACGCTAATTATTTGGATTACCATAACCTATACGAAGTTTGAAAGAATTGCATACACACAAAGGTATAAGTATACACATATACATTTGACAAAAACAGAGGGTTTTTAACAAATTTACTTGCGAATATGTAAGCAACTTTTTTTTTTGACATAAATACATACTATCTTCAAACATTATCTAAAAAACGTAAATGTCGACAGCTAATTGAAACTAAAAAAATATAGTTACATTTTCTTAAAAAACTAAGAAAAGATTAACTAATAAAAAAAGTATATTATAGAATTAGAAATCCCACAAAAATAATAATAAAAATAACATGAAATTGCGCTAAATAAATGTATTGAAGAAGCAAATAAATTACAAGATTGTCCATGTTTATTAGATATAACGATAAAACAAAATGAGAAAAAGGCATAAAGATGAAAAAATATGAAAAATTTAAATAACTACGTAAGAAAGCGTGCAAAAGCTTAAAATATTTATGAGGTAATAAAAAGCAGAAATTTTCTCGAAAAATAAGCAAATTTCAAGAATAAAAAATTATAACAAAACGTAAAAAAATATTATAATAAATGTAATGCGATTCTCTATATACAAACATTTAAAAATGCTTAAATAAAAGATATTAAAAAATGCACAAAAAGTGATTGGAGTCACATGATTTCTTCCTTAGGTCTAGAGTTCCTTTTTATAGAAAACTAGCGGTACCCCGGTGTGCTTCTCTACACCAAATATTGAAAAATGAATGAAAAATCCTGGAATTTTTCTATATGCAATTTTTTCTACTATATTGCAGGCTTGTTTATAATTGACTTAATTTATCCTAAGAAAAAATAAACACAGCACATCATAGCAACAATTTTTCACTATGTTTTCGAGTTTTCATGTATCTGCTGTTGTACTATATACGTGGTTCATGTGACAGACATAAACTGTCATATATCATGAACCGCTGGACCGAATTCGGGCACACTTCGCATAACCCATCTGCATTATAGTCCGAGTATACCGTTTAAATTTGGTAGAATTCGTGCACTTATTTTTTTTATTTAAGATGGGAGGTGCCACGGCCCCTTTTCCAATACCGCACATTTTTCTCCATGAGTATGGAATTATTTCATATGTCTCTATACCAATTTCCAGTAATCTAACACTAATATTTCAAGAGATATACCAGATGATTTTTAGTATGGGTGGTGCCACGCCCCCGTTCCAAATTCCGGGAAACTTAACACAAACCATCTGCATAATAGCCCGACTATGCCGTATAAATTTGGTTGAAATTTGCGCTTATTTTTTATATATAAGATGGGGCTGCCACGCCCTCTTTTCCAATACCGCCCATTTTTCTCCATGAGTATGGAATTATTTCATATGTCTCTATACCAATTTCCAGTAATCTAACACTAATATTTCAAGAGATATACCAGATGATTTTTAGTATGGGTGGTGCCACGCCCCCGTTCCAAATTCCGGGAAACTTAACACAAACCATCTGCATAATAGCCCGACTATGCCGTATAAATTTGGTTGAAATTTGCGCTTATTTTTTATATATAAGATGGGGCTGCCACGCCCTCTTTTCCAATACCGCCCATTTTTCTCCATGAGTATGGAATTATGTATTTGATATACCTATATATCAATTTCCAGTACTCTACTACAAATATTTCAAGAGATATACAATAAACAAATTTTAGTTAGTATGGGAGGTGCGAACACCCCCTTTTACGAATTCGGGCAAACTTCACATAAACCATCTGCATGATAGCCTGAATATGCCGTATAAATTTGGTNGTATTTGATATACCTATATATCAATTTCCATTACTCTACTACAAATATTTCAAGAGATATACAATAAATAAATTTTAGTTAGTATGGGAGGTGCGAACACCCCCTTTTACGAATTCGGGCAAACTTCACATAAACCATCTGCATGATAGCCTGAATATGCCGTATAAATTTGGTTAAATTCGGTGAAGCCGTTCTCAAGTTATAAGCTAACTCACTAATTTTTATATATAAAAGAGAGGCGCCACGCCGCCTTTTCCGAATTCAAGCAAACTCCACATAAACCATCTGCATGATAGCCCGAATATGTCACATAAATTTGGTTGAATTCGGTGAAGTCGTTCTCAAGTTATGAGGTCACACCAAAAACGTGCACTTATTTTTATATATTAGATTACGATGTGATTATGCCAACAAAATAGCTAGAAGAGACTTGCGACACTGGGCGACTTCGTATGATTGTTATTTTGCCAACAGTGTGATCAGCGATAGTTACTTTTGAGTGCAGGCCAGAGATAATGATAATCTTTCTTTTCGGAAAGGGGTGCTTTAATTTTTAAGCTTTTGCGTTCTAATCTACCTGATAACAGCGCACGCTGTCTCCGAGAAATGTTCGAAAATCTCTCTTTTAATCCGGATGCTTTATATACATATGTATGTAAGTATGTACTTCGTTATCTTGGGGGTCGGCCAGGTTCGCAAATATAAGTTTATTAAATTAGCGATAAGGCTTCGGCCGGTTTGAATGACAATTGTGCTTGAGTTACTAACGTTGGGTGGTTAAATGAACTCATAGATGCTTCTATATGCAGAGGTATTTTATAGCACCCTACGGGGCTCAGTGTGGCATGAAAATTTAATAGCTTTCGCAAAGCTCTCGGGCGCTTTGCTGTAGCTGCTAAGTTTGTATCTCTAGAAGCTTTTTGATTGCGTCGAAAGAAATCCACTAGTTTGTTAGTTGGTACGCTTCTTATCAGTCCAATACTCACGAGCACACTTTACTTTCAAAACAGATAACAAGAATAGGTACTTGTAATGATGAAATTAAACTTCCACAACGAGCATCAAATCAGCTCTTAAACGCTCGTATGCAAGCGTAGAAAACTCAGTTCAACTCCAACAGTTAAGCGAGCGCGATGGTTGAGAAGGTGATTTTAGCCTATTCCGGTGGTTTGGATACCAGCTGCATTCTGAAATGGCTGCTGGACAAGAGCTATGAGGTGATCTGCTTGATGGCCGATGTCGGACAGAAGGAAGACTTTGAGGCGGCGCGTCAGAAGGCCTTAAAAATAGGTGCTTCAGAGGTGATTGTCACCGATGTAAAGGAAAAATTCGTTGAGCACTACATCTGGCCTGCCATACAAATGGGTTTGATCTACGAGGAACGCTATCTGTTAGGCACATCTCTTGCACGTCCCTGCATCTCCGTCGCGCTGGTCGAGGCGGCTAAGAAGTATGGCGCTAAGTATATTGCACACGGCGCCACCGGCAAGGGTAACGATCAAGTGCGTTTTGAGTTGAACGCGTATGCGCTGCTACCACACATTAAGGTTTGTTTCCTTGCGAGGTCTTGAAGGACTCTTTTAAAATTCTCCTCAGAGATCTTTCAGTTGTCTAATTTATCCGTTTGTTCTGTTCTAATTCGAAACGAACCCGCATCCACTGTTCCTACTTTCCGTTTAGTACATAATTTCTGTCTCGTCTCCTTCCACAGATCATCGCTCCATGGCGTGATGATGAATTTTGCAAACGCTTTCAAGGTCGCTTGGATCTCATCGAATACGCCAAGAAACATGGCATACCAGTAAGTGCAAAACCCGCTGCCCCATGGAGCACAGATGCCAACATTCTGCACATCAGCTACGAGTCAGGTGTTTTGGAGGATCCCTTCCACGTTGCACCCGAATCTCTATACGAAATGACCGTCGATCCCATCACCAAAGCACCAAAGGCACCTAAACGCCTCTCCGTGCACTTCATCAGCGGTCTACCTACTCGCGTAGTTGATCAGGCGACAGGCAAAGAGTACACAAAACCTTTCGAAATACTACAGTTCTTGAATGAGGTAGGCGGTGGCTACGGCATCGGTCGTATCGATATCGTGGAGAATCGTTTTGTGGGTCTTAAGTCCCGCGGCGTCTACGAGACCCCTGGCGGTAATATACTCTTCACCGCACATCAAGATTTGGAGGTGTTCTGCCTAGATCGTGAGGTCCTACGCACCAAACAGGTTTTACGCAATCGCATGGCCGATTATGTCTACAATGGTTTCTGGTTCAGTCCAGAGGCACAATATGCACGTCGTTGCCTTGAGATCTCACAGGAGCATGTAAGCGGTGAAGTAGTGATTGAACTGGCGCCAGGTTATGCGCGCGCTATTGCCCGCAAATCGGCCAAGGCGTCGGGCGGTTTGTACAACGAAGAGCTGGTCTCAATGGATGTACATGGCGGTTATGTGGCGAACGATGCGAGCGGTTTCATTGCCATCAATTCGGTACGCATCAGGGAGCATGTACGCGCTTTTGGCGATTACGAGCTGCATTGAGGTGAAAGTTGTGGGAATTGTGAAATGGACGTCTTTGCAATAAAACTACTTAAAAAAAAAAACCTGAAATGTGAGGGTTCTTTTAATTTGGAGCTCCGGCTTATGGCTTGTATTGTAGAGGGCGCTTTCTCGGGGGGCTTTCTGGAACAGACACCTACACAAGTTTGGGACACATACTACATACATACATATGTATGTATGTTATTAGTTTAGTTACAGTTCAATCAGCTCACGAACTTCCGACATCGACCGGATTGGCTACCGAGTGATTCCTTATAGGCGGCGTACACGGTGCGTCTGACTCGCGAGTCGATTTGGATGGGTTAGTGAAAATAAATATGTGTTAGTTACACCGATATGGCTCGGAATGACTCAACTGTGTGTAGTCGAAAGTCGAGTCAATACGTACAAAGATGACTCGGTAGTCAGACGCACCGTCTATGGTGCCTATTAGAAATTCGATTCCTGGGATCAGAAGATACTTTTATGATAGTACGCTCGCTTTTTTGAAGCGCTTTAAAGTACATACATACATAGTTTAAAAGAAAAGATAAGCTAATCAAGATGAGAGAGACCTGAAATCTTAAGAGTGCAATTGTGTTACCCTAGTCTTGAGGTTTTATTTTTGTGTACAAATAGTAAAATAAATTATGTTATAAATTTGACGTTAATTAACGGCGTCAGACATCACACTGATAAGAAACCACGCGACAGAAAAGAACAACAAAAGCAAAACCGTCCTGTAGCAAAATAAATAAATTTGTGTTGTATAAAAAAGTTTATTTAAATAAATTGTAATTGAAAAAAAATTGTTTCATATCGCTAGCTTAGAGGGAAAAGTTGCTATGTCTAATTTTTGTAAAAACTTATTTTGATACAGGAACCAAGGCTTATATTCAATGAAAGGAAAATTTGCATAGTCCAAAAAAGCACAGAAAATTCGATAAGGTCCAAGAAATACGAAATCTTTTATTTAAGATTAACCAAGTTTTGCACTCAAAATGATGTATTCAAAGTTTTGCAAAATACTTGAAGTAAATGTTTGTAAGTTTCTTCCTCTCCTGTGGAATGTATAAAAATGGACTTAGCTACTTTTCACTCTGAGCTAGCCATATGTAGAGGTTAAAGCTGGGAGTTCTAGAAAGATTTTTTTTTATAACCGGATAATCCGAATATTCGAATATCTGATTAAAAATCCGATAAGCCGGATAACAAAATGAACATTTATTCACCGGATATCGGGATAGAAAAATTAACGGATATTAACCGGATATCTGAATTTTATCCGTACTCAATAATATCCGAACGAATATCCGTGTATACTGATGGTCGCAGTCCTAGTAGAGTGTATTCACATCTTAACTTAGTAATATTCCAAGACTGTCCTTCACAGTTAACATTTCGAAAACAATGGACACTTCAGCCTTTTTCCAGGAAATCAGGAATGCGCACCCACTAGCGCGCATAGTTTAATGGAATACTTACCACTAAACGGTACTTTTGTTTGACGTTTATAGTAAAATCAACTACGTTTCTGTTTGATTTTACTACTTTTCCCGTCAGTGTAGGTAATGTAAAATTGAATGCCATACTTGTCTTAGGACTTCGCCGTGGGGAGAAAATGCATTGTCGAATATGAAAACGGCTGTTTACTGATTATTTTTTCGATTGCCATACATTACATCTTCCCACTGGGTTTTGCTTCCGGATATCAGGATGTTCGGATTTTGTAATCAGATATTCGAATATGCAGAAATTTAAAAAATCCGTGTTAAACTCCCAGCCCTAGCACCTATCTGAAGAAAGAAAGTAGATCGTCAAGTCTCATGGCTATCAGTTCACCTTAGTTCAATGTATCGTCATAGCCATAGACATCCTGACAAATTTTTCCAGTCCCTGTCAACTCTACAGAAGAATCGATATGAAGACTGAACGTCGATGGTAGACACATACCTTCTTTCGGAGAGTCCAGCCCCAACCTCGATTTCCGGGAAGGTATCTACGCGACTGGAGAAAAGATAGCATACCATTCTATGTACGTGCGAGCAAGGGCCACATGACATGAAATATTTCTTCTTGTTACCTGGTACCGGAAGACGACCGTACACCGACACTTGATTTAGCCGAAGCCACCTCCAAACTTCGGCTTCCGGAATCACCGGGCGATTCTACATGGAATTGGTATGGGGCATCCATGGAACAAAAAAAAACCACAAATGTGTTTACCTTGTTATGTTTTTATCATGCTGTGGTAGTTAGCACTGGTAGGTGACATTAAACTTTTCATTTTTGTCATCAATTTACTTTGCAGACAGGTAGAAATTATTTTAATTTTTATGAATATGTTTTTCACTTGATTGATTGATTGAGCAGCTCAAATTTGGCGTTGTTAATTTCCAAAAGATGAAAATTACATACACTGCTGGCAAAAAGTATTGGCACATCAAATTAAAAAGAAAATATGGGTCATTCTACAACAAAAAACAGAAAAATATAGGTCCTAAACTTTGTGCAAATTTTTATCGCTAAAAATCTCCAAAAGAATAGCAAGCGCGCCCAACAATATGCAACACCTAGTTACATGCTCATCATGCTACCAGCTTTGATTGATACACATTGTATCTGTTAGTTTTATGTTGCGTGGTTTTAGGCCCCACTGATTTCCATTTAGAGAATTTTGGCCATGGAAATTAGCATGGCGATTGTCAGAATAAATAAGCTTTGTTTCTTAACACTAATTTCTGCTGGAAAGCGTTTCTTAACCCAAAAAACTAGCAGAAACTAGCAAATCTCTCTCGTTCTTACGCTCTTCTTTTTTTGGCTCTCCTGCTAATTTCTGCTAGTAAAATTATTACTAGCAAAAACTAGCAGCTGTCAAAATGGATAAATATTTTCAATAGTCAAATACACCGATCAGCTGATTACTTGCTAGTTTAGCGTTTCTTTACCTATTCGTTATTTCGCTCTCGGTGAGCGTAATTCTTTCAATTTTCTCATTCTTCTTCTTCCTGATAATTATCTGCTAGAAAAGAAAAGAAACAAAGCCATAAAAATAATTAACAACCACAGTTGGAAATCCACAATCCACAATTGGAAGATTTTTAACCATTTTTCTGGCAACACTGCACAAGGCGAAGCGATCACGTAAGCCGAAGCGCACCCATGTAGATGCGCCCTAATACGTAAGCGTGTTTACGTTAGCCGTCACAAACAGCTGGTATTTTGCTTGTAAACAAAACACAATTTTCCGGTCAAGCGATCTTTTTCGAATTTTTCGGCTAATTCATTGAAATCTAGCTAACTTATTTAATATAAAAATGTATGAGGACGATTTTGCTTTATGCGGTTTAATGTTTACTTACATCTGCTCGTTGTATAGGCGTTTAAAAGATGAAAGGCATTCATCGTCGCAACCAGTGCGACCGCAGCCTACAAGGCAATATTTGACTCGCAGCAGAAAGTCGAAGCCAAAACTAGGTTATTTTGAAATAGTGTTTCTTCAAATGAAAGCAAAGGATAATGAAGACTTCTTCATGAGCACTCGTATGAATGTTTCGCTTTTTGACTCGCTTTTATCTTTGGTTGGTGATGAATTAAAGCGGGTAGTATTACCAGAGGAAATCTCAACTGAGGAGCGTCTTGCCATAACTTTGTTGTAGGTATATAATACTTACTATATGTATTCCAAATAACAGCATATTATTTTTTCCTAATGTAGACATTTAGCAAAGGGTGTTTCCTATCAGTATTTAACACAACTTCACAAACTTGAGAGCGAAGAAGCGGCTCGCGATGTCGTATTCAAAACCTGTTCAGTATTATGGAAAGTTTTACAGCCTATTTTCGTAACAGAGCCAACTGAGTCTGAGTATAAAAATATAGTAAAAAATTTCAACACGAAATGGCATGTGCCCAATTGTGTTGGTGCTATAACGAGTAAGAAAATAGTACTAATCAAGGCAAGACCAAATGGTGAGTCGAAGTACAAGAATCTCGTTATATTGGCGACATGTGACCATAACTATGTATTTACATCAATCACCGTTGTTAAAAACGGTGAGTTGCTAATTGGTAGTGAGTGTTTTACTGTAAATTACTCCATATTTGAATCTTTTGTACATTTTCTTAGGCGAATTCGAAGCAAGGTCTTTCGGTCAGAAGCTAATGGATAATGTGTTGTCGCTGCCCGAACTTGAAGTATTCGATGAAGATCAGGTACAATTTCCCTATTATTTCGCAGGTGATTTAGGTTTGCCTCTGCGTAAAAAGTTAATGCGTCCATACCCTGGTCTGGCGCAAAACCTTCAGCGAAGAATTTTCAACTATCGTTTGTCTCGGGCGCATCAGGTAATTGAGAATGCTTTTGGTATTTTGACCGCCCGCTGGCAAATATTTGGCAAGCCAATAAACGCATCATCAGCGAATGGTGAAAATATAGTGCTGGCGGCGGTAGCACTGCATAATTTTGTAATGCTAAGTGACAAAACGCATTTGAAAGCAAAACTTATGTACTATCCCGAAAAGTATGCAGATTGGGAGGATGGAGATCACTCAATCAAGGAAGGGCGCTGGAGAGCAGATATGAAGAATACTCTAGGTTCCGCACTTTTGTACTCCGTATGCTCCCTTAATACATCAAGTAAATCCGCTTTCAACCAAAGGGATGAACTTGCTGAATACTTCGAGTTTGAAGGATCAGTGGAGTTCCAAGGGGAATTCGTAAGAAAATTAATTAAAGAGAATAAAAATGAGGGTGATAGAAGTACATAAGGTAGCATTAGCAACCGAGGACAAAAATTATCGTTGCATTTAGGTAGTGAAGCGCATACAGCATGCAACTCATTTTTAATAAAAATAACTACAAATAAAATTTGTTTGCATTAACTTCAACAATAGACTTTTATTTAAAGGTGCTAAAAAAAAAACTTGTTAACTAGGCATTTTCTATAGTTGATCATTTATCTAAATATTTAAAATTAAATTTATGCAAATCTTTTGATAAAAACACCCTGTTCTCAATTTTCAAAACTGTGTCACCCCGTATGACATTTATGCGGCGAATTTAAATGTCTATTTTGATCGAAAATGTCTATCGAAATAATTACTCATTCCTACATTTACCTTGCAGCAAAAATTCGTGATTTTTTGTGGGCAGCAGAAGAAAATTGTGCAAATTAAAACGGCAACGAAAGAAAAGTGTAAAAAATTATTTTAGGAATTTGTGTGCGGTAGCAAGACGGGACCATAAGGCGGTTGGAGAAAAAAATACGTTAAAAATGGCGTTGAAAGTGCTGGTTGGGCAGAGTAAGTTCACTGCAAATAATTGGATAGTGAAAATTTCATACACTGCTATGTAGCCAAAAAAAATGTATCCCAAGTGATCGTCTTAAGATAAGATTATGTGCTGGAACTTTATCCAAATCTTATGTACTATCCCGAAATGCTTATGCTACTAATTTGGATACCTTTAATCTGCTTATTAATTGTGAAAATTGTATCGGCAAACGCATTTCCGCCCCAGTGTTAAGCAATTATTGATTTTCCCCCGTTTGCTATGCCACCGTAGTGAACTTTTTTCTTGCGCAGACCCGACTTTACGGCGCTCAGCTGGAATCTTCGTATGGCTGTATGTTGATATGTCGCGTCAGGCATTTATGTACGTACATACATACATATGTTCATACCCACATATTATATGATTGTATTTGGGGCCGCCCGTGCAATTTGTAACGCCTTCAGGTTGAAGGTTGGAACTTTGTCGCTAGTCTTATGATGATATCCTGCTTATCCATGCACCCACTGCACTACATATCCTCATCATTACATTATCCTGAGAAAAGATTTGGTTATTTCGGTTCGCGTGCGCATCATGAAATTTATAAGTATCTGTTTTTACGATGCAAACGCATACTTATTTACGAAAAATGGACATTTCCACTTTACTTTGCAATGGGAAACTTTGTTTTCTTTGGGCCGCTGTGAAGTCATTTCGAAAAGCGGCTTAGCACAAATTGTATCTTAATATAATTATGTGCCGAACTATAAGCATTTTCTTTGTCTCTCGTATCTTGCTCGTTAGCTATGTATCTGGAGTACATATGTTGGCGTTATTGTGTTTAGGATTGTTTTGTTATTTTTGCTTCGCGTATTTGTTTTTATTATTCACAGGTTGCAGAATGACTCATTTGTTGGCCTATACACCGGCTAATCATAGAACCATTTTAGATTTTGATAAAGAAACTATTTTCGAATAACTGGGCAGACCATGAAATACGTGACGTGATAGTCATTAAAAATGCATGAAAGCAGGGCTTGATTTGTATAAATGTAGTTAAGGAATTTCACAGCCTGAATTCACCGAGTAATCAATGCTTTAAGAGTAGACCAACTGCAGGTCTAAATGACTTTTCATAATAAGAAATCAATGTATGGCTCATGGCCAAGAAAACGCATAGCCTATAGGCCTATAGGTAGGTATAATAAAATCGATTGCTAGTCTATTCGATTGCAATGGATTAAATACGAACCAGTTCATGCATTGTTGGAGACGCCTGTGTTTTATTTGCAAAAAGGAAGTTATNCGAATAACTGGGCAGACCATGAAATACGTTACGTGATAGTCATTAAAAATGCATGAAAGCAGGCCTTGATTTGTATAAATGTAGTTAAGGAATTTCACAACCTGAATTCACCGAGTAATCAATGCTTTAAGAGTAGACCCACCGCAGGTCTAAATGACTTCATAATAAGAAATCAATGTCTGGCTCATGGCCAAGAAAACGCATAGCTATAGCCTATAGGCCTATAGGTACATAGGTATAATAAAATCGATTGCTATCGATTTCATGCATTGTTGGAGACGCCTGTGTTTTATTTGCAAAAAGGAAGTTATCTCGGATACTTTAAATTAAGGGTTAGGTAGTCTTTGGGCCAACAACAAACCACTTATGAAAATATCTATGCCTTTAAAATATTACATTTATGTGATGTGTCTGCAATTTTATGGGATTCCACGATGAAGTTTGTAATCATTATTTCCATTAAGTATTTGAAACCTGTTTAATAATGAATCACCTGTTGTTTTGTTGTATATTTGTATTAAAGATGACGGTATAATCATTGAACACTTACGGACATTCATAGATATTTATGTATGTACCAAGGCATTGGAAATGTGCCTTGATCAGTATGTGCATATGGGCATTTCCAATCTGACGTGATGTGCCATTTTTCTGATAAAATATTAAAAAATAAAATGAAAAAGTCAAGTTAAATTTTCATAGTAATTAAGTAGCCCTTACATAAGTAGCAGTACATAAATAAATAAATAATTGTTATTCGAGATGTAGTGTCTTTTACTCAAAAAGGTTTTAAAATTTGTCTGCCCTTTAAACAAAAATTGTATTCTGGAAAAAATTGCGTTCAAAGGGCAGATAAAATTTAAAACCTTTTTGCTCTTAAAGATATAAGCAAATACATGTATGCATGTACATATGTACATATGCATGCATGGGTTTCAAAATTGCACTTTTCGAAGTTTGTGCCTACTCCACTCGCATGATGTGGCGTAGTTTAGCACAGATTGACGGTTTCCACGACAGTGGGGCCCACGTTATCGGAGTGACCTCGTTTTATTTCTGGCCACTGCATGCCACTTTAGCAGACTCCCCTACAGTCTTTTGGGAAATGTTTTACTCTATTTATTTGTCTTGAAACCTTTTGGGAATATAGAACCCTGCCTTTTCTGCAGCCGGTGTGCAATACTTACAAAGTATTAATCTTTAGTCGCCAAAAAATGTAACTACATTTTTATATTCGCCTTATTTATTATTATTATTTTTTTTATATTAATCCTGCCTAACAGAGATTATGAACGANCTACATTTTTATATTCGCCTTATTTATTATTATTTTTTTTATATTAATCCTGCCTAACAGAGATTATGAACGAGGTGGTGAAATATAAGCCACCTCCACCAAAGAAGGCTGGCGCTGTGGCTGCTGCCAAGGCACCAGGTGGCATGGAATGGCGTGTGTTGGTCGTCGATAAGTTGGGTATGCGTATGGTGTCCGCCTGCACCAAGATGCATGAAATAAGCGCTGAGGGTATAACCTGTAAGTCAAATGCAGACACTCCAATTTTGTTCATAAATTAGTATTGAAATTGTTTGCTTTTCTTTCATAGTGGTGGAGGATATCAATAAAAAGCGTGAACCGCTGCCTACGATGGATGCCATCTACTTGATAACACCATCGGATGAATCGGTGCGTGCTTTGATACGCGATTTCGAGAATCCGGCTAGGCCGATGTATCGTTATGCACATGTTTTCTTCACCGAGGGTATGTAGAAAAGTGTTGTAAAGTCACTAAAAAATGTTTGCTTAATAGTTTTAAGTTACATTTTATTTGTTAATATCTACTTTAAATTACTTAAAATTCTTACAGCAATACCTGAAGACATATTCCAAATGTTGCAATTGCGCAGCGATATAACGCGTAAATATATACGCACATGCAAAGAAATAAATATTGCATTTATTGCCTATGAGGACAAGGTAGAAATACTATAGATAATTAAAAAAAGTTAAATGTTTTTAAGAAAGGCAAACAGAAATATTTAAATTAACATGCCCACTAATCGACACTAATCAACCTACCGCTTACACTGGGGTTCATGGCATGTCATAACAAGTTGCGGTTTAGCAGCTGAATTTATTTATCCAAATACGAAATGAGTTCTTTGTGTAATATCACAAATTCGCTTAATTTCTACGCTTTTGTGTAAAAAGTGCTCATGTCCTCTTAACTATTTGTGACATTTAAACAACTGACATAGTCATTTTAATATTTCACACGGTGTTTGCCATATAAAGCGTCTAACTTATCCTATATAAAGCAACAAATTTAGGTACATGTTAATAAAAACTGCCTCTTTGAGCTGGAAAAAGGCCCCTGATTTTCGACAGTTTTGTCCAGATCGTGACGTCCTTGTTTATGTATAAATTGTTGCTATCTGTAAGCGTATCTTATAAATCTCATATACTCTTTATCTCTCATAAGCCTGTATATTCATTATGAAATTTTAAGTATTTTTTACAGCTAAAACTGGGTAAGCGAGTGACGCTGTGTATTTTATTTGGGAAATTTTGCAAAGATCAATTTGAAAATTACTATATTTTTAATGCTTAGATAATGTTTAAAACTATATTTTGAGCAAGGGTTTTATTTTCGATTTCTCACAGAGATATTTATAGCATCGCGCTGACGTTTTTCTTTTGTTTTTTTTTTATAAAAAAAAAATGTATGCAGCTCATTTTTAATGCAATGATATACATACATGTATAGATACATACATACAATTTAAGTAGTGTCGCAATTCTATAACAAATTTCATTTAAAAATTTTAGTAAAAAAAAATAAAAAACATTTTGTGTAGTTATTTGAAAAAGAAAACAAAAATTTTCGTAAAAGAATATTTTATAAAAACAAATTTTTAATAAAAGGTTTTTCTTAATTAAAAATATTTTATTTTACTATTTATTTATAAAAATCAGTACGCGTTTGTTGCTATTTTATTAGATTTTTAATGCATTAATAACACATTGAATCCCTAGCGGAGTTCAATTGTGTCGAATTCCCATTGGCTGGCAGCATGCAGCTGCTTATGCTGCTTGAAATCCAATTGATGTTCCCTGCCAGAAAAAAAAATTTAAATTGCATTTTCAGCATTAAAAAATAATATAAAAAAAAATATTAATTTTGTAGACAAGCATTCTTAAGCATAGTTATGTTAAGCGTCATTTGCGTACTTTTTGCCAAAATATTTAATAACTACATGTACATATTTAATTACAAGCTCACCTTACATTATCAAATGACAACATCAGTACATACTGTCACATAACTTACTCATTTATCATTTGTTTATCGTTCGTTTATCATTTCTTTGTATTATTACATTTATATATTTATAGTTTGCCCGGAGGAATTATTTAACGATTTGTGTAAATCGTGCGCTGCAAGAAAGATCAAAACTCTAAAGGAGATAAATATTGCATTTCTACCATACGAATGCCAGGTGCGAAAAAAGATTTGAAAAAAAAAACTTTATGTATATACCACCAACGTAAAGTATATGAAAATTGTGTGCAAGCATTTGGCAATTGTGTTTTTTTTTCTACTTTCAAAGTAAAGAAATATGTATTATTTGAAGCAGAACCGAAAATCTATGTATGCCACACGCCTCTTTTAAGCTCTCCTTTTCTACTTTTCAAGACACGCACACGCTCAAAATAGTATCGAATATATAAATATGTACGGAATTGTGTTAGCAACGTAGCGAGGAGGTGGCACACCCAAAAATTCAAAATTACCGAAAGTGTCTCCATCCGACACTCTTGTGTGTAAATTCGCCTTTCAGTTGCTTTTCCAATCTTAGCTCTGTTCCGCCATTTAACCCACTCAACGCTTGATCCCACGAAAGCCCAAAACAGCCCAGAAATCGTTTCCATATTCCAGAAAATGTGTAATACGTTCCTCAGTTGGATGGTAAATGTCTTCTTCCTTCTTCGCATTGGGACTTTTATGCAGGCAAAAACGGATAGTGTCAAAGTACATATCAGCCGTTTTGTGTTTTAATGTTGGTTGTATTTACTTTGTGTTTATAAGGAATAGTGAGTGGCCTGTTGGATGTATTTTTAATCCTTATATAAGAACTTATTTATTAAGACAATGAAATTTGTGAAACCAAATTAAATTGCCAATTATTTGCATTTAAATGCAACAACAAACACAACATGCATCTGCTGTTTTTCAAATTCTGGGCGTTTCCTGTACTTCTGGACATTTTACCAATTCTGAGAGCACATTTTTCACTTGCTCTCTAATTACCAGATCCAGTCGGATTGTACGGGAATTAACCTGTTGATTGATTTTCACTAACAAAAAACCCGTTGCAGTTCCCTATATAGACTTTAAATTTCAACAGTTTGACGTAAAATAATATTTTTTTTTTTTCATACAGTTCGTCGTATGAAAAAATTAAACGAGTTTTTTTAAGGTTTTCCGGATTTGGCCAGTAAAGTTTTCAATCAATAATACTTATTTGTATCATATTTTTACGTATAGCTGTTGAATTTTGTAGTTGCTTGGCCAAGCTTTGCAAAAATTATATTAAAAAACTTGGTACGGAATACTTTGCCACATTTGGTCTTATGGCCGCTTCTTTTCTACCTACAAATGCCTTCTCAGTGCCCTCTACGCACAAATACTAGGGAAAGGGCAATGGAAAGGCAACATAAAGCTCTTAGCTTTATATGGAGTATCAAATTACGCCGGCTTTATAATGAAAATTAACAGATAGAGCTTTTACACCCCGCGCGTGCGCCTAAAATCTATAGAAAACCTAAAAACACTTCCCCCGAGATATATGTATGTTTTGTTCTTGACTGATTTATAGCAATGAAAGCATTAAAATATAGCATATACTTTCAGTTTCACATTTTTTTTTTCGAAGCAAATAACTTTGCCAGATCTGATTTTTTCATGCGTGTGTGTGCCCCTCCTCTTCACCCCAAACAATATTCTCTCTTTACGCGCGCGTTCACTTTCTCTCTTTCCCTTTCTTTCTCTTTGTTATTGTTAACTATCTCTCTGAATGTTGTAAATAATTTAATTTAATTAAAGTTGATGTGTATTCGATGTGTAAATTGCTTACTAAAATTGAAATTATAAAGACGAAAAGTGCAAAATGGCAAAGCGACTTTGATATTATTAATACAATTTGAGGCATAGATAATCTAAAAAAATATTAATTTTTTTCAAAATTACCACCTTGCACTTTTCCTTGCATTTACCAGCCAAGCAAAAATATCTATCAAGTCCTTGCATTTTTTTTTCTTTAAAAAATAGTATGCCAAGCACTCTACACTGGCGCCTGTAAAAAGCAAAAAATAGCATTTTTTTTGAGGAATGCAACCTTGTAAATTGCCACAGTTAAAGTGTCCGACATTTAATTGCCTGCCACTTTAGCTGTTTGCGCAATACATTTGATTACAAAAGAAACAACAAAAAACAAAATATCTCCTTAAGTTTTGTTTAACTTGTTTTGTAGTGTTCAATTTAATGTATGTGAATTGTATACAGAAAAGCAAATCGTTTACCAAGCGTCGCCTCCATTGAAGGCACCTATCTATATACTACGTCTTTTTTTCTATGTACGTTGATTTCTTTCTACTAACCAAGCACATGGAATGAAAGAATGTCGAACAACAAAAGAGAAACAATAGAAAAACCAAATACTATATGCCAAATTATACGCAATACACATGCCTTTTGCCCCACAAAAAAAAGAAAAAACACAAAAAAACAGCGAAAACGACATTCCAAAAATGTTGGCAACAAAATACTTAGTAGCAAGCATATTGACCCTACAATATTCTTGTTAGCGAATAAATGCGAAATTGCTGAGCAAATTATGTAAATTTACGAAAGTAGTTTATATTTTGTAGAGTACTTTTTTAAATATACATAAGTATAAAAAATACGGTTTATTTCTGGCGTATATTAATTTGCACTAAATTTTTGCTAAATTTTTTTGTTGTATTTGAACAAAGTAGAACTTTTTTCTTTTTAGTAACCTTAATTACTAACCTCTTATAAAAATCGTCCTATATAAATTTACAAAAGCAATTTGCCAATTTCGCATTTATTTGCGTTTTTGTTTGCTGTAATTTGACATGTGGACTCACGGGCTTTAAAACAAAAAGATATGTTGTAACCTAAAAACATACCATATAATAACAAGGGACTGGCAAAAGTGGAAATTTATTCGTGAATTTTTGATCTATGCTTTTGAAGTAGAAAGGTTAAAAATGCAAAATGTTTGCTCAATATGACAAACATATGAGATAAAATGGAATGAAATATAAAAAGCCATTGGGCGCGCGATTCATTGGAAACTTGAATAAATATTTTTTCGAAATGTTTAAAAAAACATATACATATAAAAATATTAAAAAAAAAAAATCGAAATATTAAAACGAGTCAAATTTTAGTTATAACAAGTAATTTTTAAGCAAAAAAAAAACAAAACCGACTTCAAGTCTCATATTAAAATTTAAGATTATCGTTAATTGCCTCATGATCGAATGATCGGATTTAAACCAAATTAGTATGGGACCACCTGTGAGGTAACACCTTTTCTTTAAACAAGGAATTATAGAAATCGGTTAACGTGGTCCAAAGTAATACGATAACCTTCTCCTTTTTGTGAAGTCGGTTAAAAATATTTACTTTTAAAAAGTTATTCCAAAAAAAAAAAAAAAATATTTTTGTAAAAATTTGATAAACGCTACATTTTTTTTGTAATTTCTCAAAGAGAACTTGAATCGGTTAATTACACAGTTCTTACTTTTTTATCACCTGAGAAAATCTATCTGCAGAATTGTTCTAGCACGTCAGAGATGTTCTAACGTCAAAGTGCCAAAAACACGGTTTACGAACCGAACTGCAGCAAAAATTCCGATTTATTCCATTTTGGTAATTAACCGATTCA